ATAATGCAGGTGGTGGCCTCGTGGCTGATGGATGAGGAGTAGGTGAGCCAGGCTCCAGCCGGCAGTTCTCGCACCTGCACGGTGAAGTAGCGGATGGGGGACGCGCCGTCACTGCCCGGGGTCCACTGGAGCTGCAGGCTGCGGGCAGACACTTCTGCCTGGGGCACCAGGAGCTGCCGGGGTGGCGCCGGCCGCTCTGAAACCAAAGAAAGCTCGGGGTGACCCCACACTCCTGACAGCAAGGTCGAGGTCGGCTCGGAGAACTCCGTGGCTTAGTCATTGAACACCTCTAGGCAGAAACACCACGGCGGGGCGGTGTGACCTGAGATGCATCCTCACACAGGCAAGGAGGCTGCACGTGTGAATCCAGCCCCGGGCCCTTGTCGCCTTTCAGCATCGGTGGGTCTAGTGCTCATGTCTTTTTCCTTTGGTAATGTACATGCTTCAATGATGCATGCATAGATGCGTTTTTAAGAGCCCGTGCAACCCAGGAGCAGGAATGCGAAGAGAGATACCAGACGGGAAGGGGGAAGGGCAGGAGGAGGGGCAGAAGGGGAAACTGGTGGGCACACAACCACACACACCCCTCCAGGGGAAAGAACAACGGGAACCGTGGGGGAAGGGAGACAGTGGTTGGTGTGAGGCACGGAAATAATAATAATTTATAATCTCTCAAGGGGGCACAAGGATGGGGGGGCTGATAGCAAGGGCTCAATAGAAAGTAGTGACTGTCTGGAACGGAAGGATGGCAACATTTGTACACATATGCCCGATACAATTGATGTACGGATTGTAATAAGCATCGTAAGTGCTCTCAATAAAATGATTAAAAGTGGGAGCTTTGGTAACTTGGTGCATCATTTATTTAACTACCTAAGCCCAAGTATCCATCTACAAACTGCCAAAAGAACAAAGACGCAGGTCTTAGAAGAAGTACAGCCAGAATGCTCCTTGGAGACCAGGACGGGGAGCCTTCCCCTCACGGACTTTGGGGACATTGTCAGGAGACCCGTGTGGGGAGCAGGACATCGTGCTTGGTAAAGCGGAAAATGAGGAGGGCGCTGAACAAGATGACTGGCACGGCGGGCGCACCACTGGGCTGGGCACAGGAGCACTTGTGGGGACGGGGCAGGACGGGGCAGTTTCCACTCTTCCTGCTCAGTGTCGCTGTGAGGTGGACCTGCTTGATGGTGCCCGAGGCCAACAACACATCTCTCTCTGCTACTGTGTGTGTCTCTGCCAATGTGCGTGACTGTCTAGGTATCTTTTCAGTGCCAAGCGCCCCTGGTGGCGCACTGGGTTTTGTGTTGGGCTGCTCATCACAAGATCAGTAGGAAATAGAGGCTGTCTGCTTCGCAGTGCAGAGCTCCAGTGTCTGAAGCCCATCATGAGCTTCCCCTCTGCCCCCTGGGGTTGCTGTGCATCAGAATGGACTGGATAGCAGGGAGGAGGGGTGTTTTTTTGGGGGGGGCATGGCCAGAGTGATCCTCAGAGACAAAGATGGTGAGACTACGTCTTACATACTTTGGGCGTGTTGTCAGGGGATACCAGTCCCTGGAGAAGGACATCATGCTTGGAAAAGTAGGGGGGCAGCAAGAAAGAAGAAGACCCTCTAGGAGATGGACTGATGGACGGCATGCCTGCAACAGCGGGCTCGGGCGCAGCAACGATGACCAGGATGACGCAGGACCGGGCAGCCTGTCCTACCGTTACGTGCAAGGTTGCCATGGGTCTGAACGACTCGTTGGCACCATTCTCCACCTGTATACCTACACATGGATCTGTGCTGCTGTCTGTCTCTGTCTGCGGCTATTTGTCTTACGTAAAACAAGCTTTCTTTATTCCCTTATCCCTTCTTCTGTGTCCCTTCCCCGTCTCCCCCGGTTTTCTCGGTAACCATAGAAATCTACTTCTTGTGGGGTGCACACCATCTTCCCCTTATCATGATGCCGCCCTGCCACAGTGTTTATCTCTATGGGCTTGGCTAACTTGGCTCTGCACGAGGTCTTCCCTCCTTGTCCACATCCTGAGGTCTTGACTGACCTCGTTCTTTGTCAGTGTGTCCTGTGCCACTGCTGTGTGGACCAGAGTTTAATGATCTGTTCCTCCACCCTCGGGCTGTGGACACTCCCTATGTGTGGACCTCAGTCGGCATCCCCTGGGTCTGGGAGGTTCCCAGCAGAGAGACCCCGGGTCTCAATGACGCCCTCCACTCCAGCTCTTATCTCTCGTTGGTGCCCAGGCTCCCCTGTCTCTTCTTTTCTCTCTCATAAAATAGAAAGAGCCCTTGGGGTGCTGGGTTAGGCTGCTAACCACAACGTTGCTGGTTCAAAACCACCAGCTGCTCTGTGGGGGAAATATAAGGCTATCTGTTCCCATAAAGATTTACAGCCTTGGAAACCATATGAGGAAACCCCATATGGATCAGAATCCACTCGACTGGTTAAGTAACACAAACAAACAACACCACAACCCTTTTAAAATGAGCTCCTAGGTGGTACACAATGAGTCCTGGTGGTGCTGTGGGTGAGGCGTTAGGCTGCGAACAACAAGGTTGGCAGTTCAAACCCACCAGCTGCTCCTCTGGAGAACGAGGGGGCTGTCTGCACCACACACATCAGATCTTGGAAACCCTGCATGTGCCCTGGTGGCGGAGTGGTTACACACTGGGCTGAAAACAGCATGGTCAGCATTTAGCAGCTGTTCCTTGGGAGAAAGATGAGGTTTTGTGCTCCCTAAGAAAGTTAGTCTCGGAAACCCGCTGGGCCGGCTGGTTCTCCCCTGTCCTGTAGGGCTGCTATGCGCTGGAAGGGCAGCGAGTTGGTTTGGGGCTTATGAGTCAGGATCAACTTAGCGGTAGTAGGTTTGGCTTGGTTAAGATAATAAGGGGATGCTGACCACGCCCCAGGCGAAGTCCCCTGACTACAGATAGGGGCTGTGTCCCAAGGGAGGTGTTGTATCTATCTAATTCTCTCACAGCTGGTTGGCTGAGCACTCATGAGCCTAGTCTGGGGCATGATGACACCAGGGCATAGTTGCCAACCCACGGGGAATCGTGGCCCAGCTAAGCTGGCAGGGATTTGGGGGGGTGTTCCTCATAAGGCCGGTGAGAGAGCTAATGGTCGGAGGGGACTGATCCACACCTTGTCCTCAGGAATGGGCAGCAGGGAGGAGACAAACCATTTGCTGCAAGTGAATGTGAAGCAGGATCCAGGGACCCCAGCTCTACTACGACCTGGGATCATGGGCTGGGGGCTCAGGGAGGTTACCCACAGATTTCTCCGGACTCTATCCTCCATTGTGGGGCTCAGTCCATCGTAACATCTCCTTCCGCTCCCCGTAAAGTCAACCTGACCCAGACAGGAAGGTAATCTGTGTTGGCTGGTTTCGTGGGTGTTGGGTGCAGGCCCCTTGCAGGGGTCACTACTCAGCCTCTCTGGGGGTGACTGGGCACACCCTCATCCCTGCAGCAGGACCTGAATCTGAATGTAGCTGCCCTGCACCACTACACCTTAGCTATTCATTCTGAGAAGCAGCTCAGGGGGAAGAGGAGTGGTTGTTTAATTGTTGATCAGGCAGTCCATCGATCCTGATTACAATGGTGGCGTGTAATAACACAGCAATTGATCGTGGCGCCATGGCAGCTAAGGGCCTCTGGGCTCTCCTCCTGGGCCCTGAGAACACACTGGGGGTTTGATGGGGCTTCCCAGTAACCCTCCCTCCCTCCTTAGAGCCCACCCGGCCAACCCCGACTCCTGGAGTCCCTGGCCACCCCGCAGTGGAGAACTGTGCTCCACAGGGATCCCAAGGCTGTTTTCAGATGTCCATCGCCAGGCCGTTCTTCCAACGCACCTGGGTGGACGTGAACATTCGCGGAACACCACGGGTGCTCTGTGCAGGTGAGTTTTCTCCTTGTCAGCCTCTCGGGTGCCTATCTGAACTCACTCACTCCAGATCCAACTCAACCGCCTACCCAGACATTACCCACACCCCTCCTGTGAGGAAAACAAGAATGATCACAGCAGAACACCACTCCCTAGTCGGCCCTCACTCGTGGTCATCGGGGGGCTTGCCTTGGAAATAGGGAGTAGAAAGCCTCATCTCTTTGCTGAGGAGCAGCTGGTGGGTTTGAACTATCGACTTCACTGTTAGCAGCCCAACACATAACCACTGCACTACCAAGGCTCCTGTGTGTGACGTGCCCTAGCAGAGACTTGGACCAGGTCTCCTAGTGGAAGAGCAAGATTCCAGTCTCGAATCCCCATCGCAGCCTCGTTCATAGAGCACCTATTACATCACAAGGTATGGCCCCAGGGAGTCTCTGGGCAGAGTCCCGGCGGCTAGTACACTGTCCCCTGCACCAGGTGAGCTCAGAATTCCATCAGAGGCTCTGGGGCCACTCTGAACTTGGGCTGTCACCATTTCACAGACAAGGCAGCTGCAGCACGGAGCAGGTAAGGCTGACAAGGCTCCGTCTGTGCCCCCAGCAGCCCCTCTGAGGTGATGGGGTCCCTGCCCCATGTTTCCGTCAGCCAAGCTCCTTCTTGTCTTTACTTCTTCCCAAGCTCTCTGGCTGTGATGCCAGAACCACTGGAGCTGAAGCCAAAGGAGGGGACCTGCTGTGGGTGTGGGGCTCTTGGGGGACAGTCCTGGTGGGGGTGATGGATAGTGGTATGTGTCTACTTTGCTGGGCTGTGATTCTCAGTGGTTTGGCGAACATTGGACTGGATGATATGATGTAATCATCTCCTATGATGGGATCTAATGTAATCATCATCTATCCTGTGATATGATGTAATCATCTCCCAGGACGGGATTTGATGTAATCAACCAATCAGGTAACTGGGGCATCACCTTGGGGGTGTGGCCTGCCTCCGACATACAGATGCATCTTCAGGCATCTCTCTCTTGCTCACTCCTGTATTCTTCTTTTCACCTGACCTCTTGTTCCTGGCCTTTGAGCCAGCAGAGGCCTCCAGTCTGCCACCTGACTCTCAGATCTGAGACCTGCTGGGGCACCACAGTTGTGTGAACCATTTTCTGGAAGCCAATCTCTATTGATATGAAAATAGACACACTTTTTTGGTTTTGCTCCCCTGGGGGAACCAACACATCATCTGGCTCCCCTGAGCTCCAACTCAGCACCCATGAAATGCCAGATGACAGACATGTCAAGTGACAGACATGAAGCCCTGAGCCCAACTCTGGGAACAGAAATATCCTTTGGCTAAGTTTCTATCCCAACTCCAATCCACACCCACTGCTGTCTGGTCAATTCCAACTCCTGAGCGCCCTGCAGGGCAGAGTAGAGCTGCCCTGTGGGTGCCGGAGGCTGTGATCTACATGGGAGCAGACTACCACATCTTTCTCTCTTGGCGCCCCAGGTGGGTTCCAATCACTGACCTTTTGTTTTGTATCAGAGTGTTTTAACCTCTGTGTCACCAGGTCCCCTTTGAGCTTCTCTCCGCTCTTTCATTTAGGGCCCAGGGTAGCCAGTAGCTTCTCATGGGGCCACCACCCACCAGAATGGCCCATGGGCCATGGGTTTGGAATTTGGGAAGCATCGTTTGGAGCAGCAGAGATGGCGTGCCAGCCTCTGAGCTGACATCCAGACCCCATGGAGTTGCTCAGGGTGACACCTCCGTCTTTCACTGCAGCCCTGGTGGCACCGTGGGATGTGCACTGAGCTGCTAGCCACGAGGTCAGTGGTTTGAGCCCATGAGTGGACCCAAGGAAGAAAGCAGGCTCTGCGGTCCGTGCAGACTCACAGTCTTGGAAACTCACAGGGGCAGTTTGACTCTGGCCTAGGGGCTCGCTCTGAGTCAGGAGCAACTTGATGGCAGTGAGTGTGTTTGGGGCTTTGGTCCCCACCTGGGCCACAGTCCAGTACAGGGCGGTACCATGTGGCTGTTCCGATGAGAAGCCACCAGGACTGTCTGGTCCCCTCACACCCTCGGAGCATTCCCAGCCCTGTGCCCACAAAGCACTGCCCAGTGAGCCCAGGCTGTGCTGTGGCCTGACTTACACCCAGGAGCCCTGCTGTCACCATGCACCGGGGCTGGGGTGGGGGTGCTCACCTCTCGTCTCCGTGGTGATGACGGTTGCTTCCAGTGGGGCCCCCCAGCCCTGCCGGGTCTTGGCCGACAGCCGGAAGATGTAGGCGGCCTCAGGGGCCAGCTCGGTGGCCGTGAACTGGCGCACGGTGGCGCCGACCTCCACGGTGGTGAAGGTGTTGGGGCTGCTGGTGGCCAGGCGGTAGGCAATCTGGTAACCTGCAGGGGGCAGAGAGGGGCACAGAGCTGCTGCTGGGCCATCCAGCTGCCAGTGTCTGCCCGAGTTCTGGTTCCGACCCAAGCAATGCTTCATGGAGTTTCAAGTAGTTTAGCCCAGTGTGTCAATGTCATCGATCTGGTCTATCGTTTTCTAGAGACTTACAGCAGTGGTTTCTGCGGCGTGGTTTTCACATGAAAATCATTTCAGCTTTGCTTTTGTATCAGTTAGAATCTCTGAAAGTCACTGGTATAGATGCGCAGGACTTAGCAGGAACAAATAGTTATGTGCTAACATCAAGTGCTATGCGCAACCCCAAAATACGAACACCCGGCCAACAAGTTCCCATATGGAGGAGGAAACGCCACCTGCCCACAAGGCCATCGCCGCCCAGGGGGACCCCTGAGTGGATGCAGTAGGGCCACCCGCCCCCACGGTGTTTAAGGCTGGGGCCTGTCCCAGCACCTGCTCCCCTGGCCACCGTAGCAGGGGGCCAGACCTTTCTGCAGAGGGACTTGTGGTTGGGCTCAGACCACCAAGCTAGTGGTCAGCAGCTGGACATCCCGACCCCCTGCATCACTCACTGGGGCTCCTGCCGTGCCCACACCTCGTCCCTTCTGCCCGTGCTGGGGACCCGGACACAGCTATTTCTCCATGACCCCCGTCCTCCCACGCAGATGGCACCTGGCAAAGAGGAGCTGGCACTCGGAGAAGCCCCCCTGCTGCCTCATGAGATGGCAGGAGGTTTGACTTCCTGAGGGCGGGGCATCCTTCTGGTGGGTGGAGGCTGCACAGAGCCTGGCCCTATCCTGACTGCCCCCCGCCCCCCCCCCCGCTGGGGGCTGATGGGGCCTCCTGCTGTGCAGTTTAAGACGGCAGGGCCAGGGGTGCCACGTGGCCACCACCTGCCTCTCCACGCTTCCCTCACAGCCCCATCTTCCTGCTCAGACCTTCCCGAGCCATAATGGACAGTAGGGGGCCCTGGACCCCCCTCCTTGCCAATCCAGCATCCTTGACCCTCACCTGCCCCCATGGGAGCTCTGCTTGGAACCATTCCTTCCGTGGAAGCCTCTGGATGCTGGTTGTCAGGCCTGGGCACACCTGGCTGCTCTGAGCAGAGACCCTGGACTAGTCAGTGATGGAAGGAGCCCCAGCGGGCTGGTGGTTATGCAATGAACTGCTGCAGTTCGAAACCACCAGCCGCTCCTCAGGAGAAAGACGAGGCTCTCTGCTCCCATAAAGCACTGCAGCTTTGGAAGCTCACGGGGCAGTGCTACCCTGTCCTGTACGGTTGCTATGGGTCAGAATAGACTCCATCCAGGGAGTTTTGTTTTCTAAGGAGATCTGGTGGTGCAGCGCGCTAAGCATTGAGCTGCTTGGCCAAGCCTGGCTTTCTAAACCCACCAGCTACTCTGATGGAGAGAGAGGAGGCTGTCGACTCCTGGGCAAGTTCACAGCCTTGGGAGCTGTCTGTTGGGGGGCTGTGAGTGTCGATGGAGTCACGGGCCCTCATGACAACAGTGACTGTTGTGTGAACCTCGTGGGACTGGGAGAAGATGCTGCCTGGTCCACCAGAGGCCTGACCCCGGCCCCAGTGCAGTCTGCGTGGCAGTGGGACTCCTGTGCAGATGCTAACGCAGACCCCCCAGACTCCCAGGCAGCGCTTCCTCCACCCCCCCTGCCCCTGAGGAAGCTCAGCCTGCGTGAAACCCAAGACCCTCTGCCGGGCCACGTATCAACCCGCTCTACAGCCACACACAAAGCAGAGACCGGCGTATGCATATGAGTCCAGCCACTAGTGACACCATAGGGGGCGTGCAGTTGTGCCCCCCAAACCATACACACTAGGCCAGCGGTTATCATCCAATTTGGGAATGGGCCAGCTCGGTTACCATCAGGAGGCAGGACTTGCTGAGGGTGAATCTTGAATCAATCTCCTACTATCTCTTTCTCTCCCCCCTTTCTCTCTCCCTGTATATGTCCTTTCTCTTTCTCCCTCCTCCGCTTCCCCTACGCCCTCTGTCTCCCACTCGTGCTCTGTCCCCTCTCTCCCTGTTCTCTCCACCCCCTCTTTGTTCTCTCTGCCCCCCTCTCTCTGTGTCCCTCCTCTCCCTCTCTCTCCGCCTCCCCCCCACCCCCCCAGTCCCCTCTCTCCCTCTGTTCTCTTCCTCCCTCCATTTCTCTGTTCCCTCCACCTCCGCTCTGGTCTCTCCTGCCCATAAATGGCTCAGAGCCGCGCTGAGTAAGAGCTCCTGCGTTTTTGGAGGATGATGATAGATGGTCTGAGAGGAAAGGGTGGCCGGGTAATCGCTGTGGGGAGAGCAGGGCTGCTGACAGGGCGGGGTCTGGGAGGCCTGCGGGAAGGATGGATCTGCTGGATTGATAGAGCGGGGAAGGGCAGGCCTGCCTTTGGGAGGCGGGTGAGTTAGCATCAGGCAGGCACTCCTGGGGACCAAGTCCAGCCCCAGCAGCAGTGGCCCACCGTGGACATGGGAGAGGGCGGTGCAGTCCAGTTGTCTCTGACGCACAGTGGCTCCGTGTGCAGCAGGACAAACCACGGCCCGCCCTGCACCGTGTGCACAACAGTTAGGCTCGGGCCCACGGCTGCGGCCACGGTGCCCTCATCTCGCCGGGACCTTCCTCTTTTTCGCCGCCCCTCGACTTCATCCAGCGTGATGTCCTTCTCCAGGGACTGGTCTCTCCCAACAACATGCCCAAAGGAAGCGAGACAAAGTCTGGCCATCCTTGCTTCCAAAGCTTCCAGCCTCGGAAGCTCCAGGGGCAGTCCTGCTCCGTCCCACAGGCTCGCCCCGATCCACTCGATGGGGGTCAACATGCGAAGAAAAGAGCCCAGTGGCGCGGAGGTTAGAGTGCTCAGTGGGCTGAATGATCAGGCAATGGTGGGAGAAAGGGGAGGCAGTGTGCTTCTGAAGGGAGACAGACTTGCGAACCCCATGGGCAGTTCTTGTCTGCCAGTAGGGCCACCGTGAGTCAGGTGCCACCTGCCAACAGTGGGCTTTTACTCAGCACAGCTTTTACACGTTGTGGGTGCCACGGGTGGTACCGACCAGTGTACCCTTGACTTCTAACCTAAAGGTTGGCAGTTCAAACCCATTTAGTACCTCTAGGAAGACAGGCCCTGTAACCTGCGTCTGTCACTGGGGCCGGTGCCCATCCTGAGGGCTGCCCTGGGTCTGCGTCGGTCCCGAGACCGGCCGGTGGTCTTCCTTGAAATCACCTAACTTGACGAGTGCGGGTCCACAGGCCACACTGGCCAGTGCCCAGTGCCCAGCCCACCAGGGCCTGGTCTGGCCGCCATCCAGTCCTCACCCCTCGGCTCCTCCTCCGGCAAACCTTGTCCTGGATGAGTGGCCCCGTCCTGTCCTTCCCTCTGCTCAGGCTCCTGCAGCTCCTTCACTCCGAGAGCCAGCTCAGAAAGCCACCTATTATTCCTGGGAAGAGACGCACCCCCAAAAAAGAAATGCTTCCGGGGCGTCTGTGATCACACCCTGTGTCACACTGAATTCTCACGGTGTCATGTCCTTTCCCATCCCGAGGGTGCACGAGGCTAAGCCGCCTCTTGGTTCCCACTGGGCACAGAGAAAGTCTTTGGTTTGTCTTGGCGGACGTGGGAGCAAAGAAGAACCTGCCGATCTTTAAAAAGTGGGATGTGTTGGCTCCGGGGCACCGGGGCGGGGTGGGCGGTGGGTGGAACGGAGGCTCTCCGTGAACACGTGAGAACTGGGACACAGTTGAAGGCACACAAAGTCCGTGGGGCCCCCGGCCGAGGCGTCACTGCAGGCACTTTGTGGCAGGATCGGGTGCCCTGTAGCCGAGAAGGAGATCCCAGACTTCTGGACAGGAGCCAGGTGGTTGCCTTTGGCGATAAACAAGCCTGCTGTTTTCCAAACACACATCGGAACGGCCTCCTTATCTCAGAGTGGAGTGCAAGGTCAGTACACTGTGCTGGCACTGAACAAATGGGGGGCTCTGGGTGACACTGGCTCGGAAGGCTGCAGAGGGGCCTGCAGCCACACCACCTCAGAAAACGCTAGGCTGCTAAAGACGTGACTGCTTCTTCTTCTGAAACACCCAGTGAGACTAGAGGGGTCTCCCAAGTGTCATCCCTCTCCCAAGATACTCCTTCCCACCCCCTGACCCCCCACCCCCATCTCCTTACCCAGAATTATGCCATTGGGCTCCTCTGGGGGCTGCCACACGATGCGGACTGACGTCAACCGCACTTCCGGGAAGACAAGTCTCACCGGGGGTCCTGGGGCTAAAGGATGACACAGTGTCCTTGTCAGCATGAGATATGCACATGGCAGGTAACAGAGGGTACTGGGAGATAGCCGAGCTCCCTACTGTCTGCATCTTCATCTACCACATCCTCCACCTGCCACCCAGCATCAACCACAGCACCTACCCACCATAGCCTACCCAACTACCATCAACCACACCACCCACCACCAACCACACCACCTACTTACCACCCAACATCAACCACAGCACCTACCCACCATAACCCAGTCAACTACCATCAACCACACCACCTAGTTATCACCCAACCTCAACCATGCCATCTACCTACCATCCAACATAACCATACCATCTACCTACCATCCAACCTCAACCATGCCATCTACCTACCATCCAACATCAACCACAGCACCTACCCACCATAACCTAGCCAACTACCACCAACCACACCACCTACTTACCACCTAACATCAACCATGCCATCTACCTACCATCTACCACACCATCTACCTACCATCAATAGCAACCACACTGCCTATCTGCTGCCTACTACAGGATCTACCTACCATCTACCATATCACCTACCTACCTTAGTCTGGCCAACTCAACTACCAGCTGCCACACCACCCGCCTTTATCTACCATATCATCTCTTCCCTAGTCTAACTACCACCTACCACATCACCTACTTATCACAGCCTAGCTACCCACCCTCTATCATGCCTTCTACCATACAATATACCTACCACCTACAACCGCCATATCACCTCACTTCCATAGTCTAGCTGCCTGCCATCTACCATAGCATCTACCCACCATCTACCTACATCTAGCTCACCACCTACCTTCCACCTACATCCACTGCACTGCATACATACCACAGCATAGCTATCCACATACTCACTATATTTTGGAATCAAACTGGCTCCATGTGACTCCCACCTTGGGCACCACTGTCTTTGAGTCCTGCCCATCTCCTTTCCACATCCCAGAAGCCACACTGGAGACAGGGAGAGGGAGAACCTGCGTGGGGCACTCAGTTCCATGAGGGAGTGTTTGACAAGACACTAGTCAGAACTCAGAGCCTCCTGCTGGAGCTAATATCTGTAAGGGGCCATTGGAGAAGAAGGCCTTGAAGACCCTCTTTCTAAGTGGAGGTCGCAGTTACTATGATGGTCCTATTTCCAATTCCATTCCATTTCTCCGACGCACACCACCTGCACTGTCACCCAACAGGAAGGGTTGACAGGCACCTGCTGAGAGCCCTTCTTGTGCACCACGCAGGTGCATCAGTAACCTGTTAAAAGGCGGGCGATGCTCTGGAACCATTCGATGACAGGGTCACAGCCCCGGGACAATATAGTCACTCAGATGATTAGGCAAATAAGTTGGGTGGCCAGGATCAGAATTGCTTGTTGGAAGTTAATAGCCGATTGATTACCAGGTAGGAGGCAGCGACCACTGACTGATCAATACAAAACAAAATCCTGTATCTCGGGTGATCCAAGGGCTGTAAAAATCTGCCTCCAGCTATTATGCTGAGGACAGCATTTCACATTCCCAATCGGTGAAGTCGCCTGCTGCTTAAGTGAAACAGAGGCAGGAAGAAGCAGCCAGGCTCAGCAGCCAGCTCCAGTCCCCAAACAGAACACGTAAAGACAGCTCCCTGGGCCTCCCTCCTGTCTGCTATCAGCTGGCATCACCTGGCTCTACCTGGCTTTACCTGGCTACTACCTGGTTATGTTGACTACTATCTGGTTATCAGCCGATTATCCTGGTTATTACTTGCTCTTGGTTGTCACGCGGCTAATAACTGGTTGTCACCTAATGATCCTGTCTGTCACCCAGCTCTCCCCTAGTTATAGCTGGCTATAGGTGGTGGTTAAGCGTCGGGCTGCTAAGCACAGGTCAGCCACTTGAAACCACGAGAGAAGCCTGGACTTTGCCCTGCCGTGAGCAGTCAGTCTGGGAAACCGACAGGGGCAGCCGTGCCGCCCTCGCCTGCAGGGTGGCAGTGAGTGGAACGGGCTCGGTGGCAGTGAGTTCGGTTATGGCTCGGGGCACTTTGTGTCACCTGGTGATTTGGTTAGGGCATGGCTAGCACCTGGTTTAAGGAATCCTGGTGGCTTTGAAGCTTTGGTGGTATTGGGGTGCTAACCAAAACGCCAGCACTTCAAAACCACCAGCTGCTTCACGGAAGAAAGATGGGGCTCTCTCCGTAAAGACTGGCGGTCTCTGGACCCCAATAGAGGTTCCGTATGAGGGGGAACTGGATGTGAGGGCAGTGGGTTTTTGCTGCTGTGGTTTGAGGATCGTCTGGTTAAACCCCCAAACCAAACGCACTGCCACTGAACGGATGCCAGCGACCCGACGTGGGTTTCTGAGGCTGTGAATCTTCATGAGAACAGACCACTTCCTCTTTCCCCTGAGGATCCAGTGGTGGGTTTGACTGCCCACCGGGTAGCTAGCAGCCTACTTCCTAGCCCCTTGTGCCCCTAGGGCCCCTTGTTTAGACAGCAAGCC